ATTAGAAACCCCCCCGTTTTTACATGGGTTTTTTCCCCCCCTTTTAAAATTTGGGCCCCCCCCTGTTTTAACTGGGAAACTACCCTTATGATTAAAAAAGGGTTTCCCCCCCTTATTAAATTTAAAATGGGTTATCCCCCCCGAAAAAAAAATCCCCCCCAAATTTTAAGGGGGAAAAACCCCCCCTTTTTAAAAGGAAAAAACCCCCCCTTAAAAAATTAAAATCTTTTTTTTTTTTTTTTTTTTTTTTTTTTTTTTTTAAAGGATCAATCCCCATTTAACATGAATCAATCCCCCTTATGAATTTTAATACATGGAGATCGATTATCCCCACCGTTGAATGTATTATACCAGAGATCATAAATAAACCCCCCATATGTATTATACTATGGATGATTCAATATACATCCCCCCCTTATGTATTATACATTGGAGATCATAATCCGCCCCGCATTATCGTTATTTATACAAAGGAGATCAAATCCCCCCCTTAATGTATTATAACATTGAGATCCTATCCCCGCTTATGTATTATCATATCCCCCCTATTTATGTATATAATGGAGATCATATCCCCCCTTTGTATTATACATGGAGATCATAATCCCCCTTATGTATTATAATGGAGATCATATCATACCACTTGATGTTATTATACAGATGGAGAACATATCCCCCCCTTATGTATTATATCAATGGAGTATCCATATCCCCCCCTTAATGTAATATACTGGAGATCATATCCCCCCCTTATGTATTATACATGGATTGATATCCCCCCTTAATCTCCTCATCATCTCCCCCCTTAGTATTATACAGGGATCAAGATGTATCCCCCCTAATCTTTATACATGGATAGCATATCTCCCCCTTATGTATTATACATGGAGATCATATCCCCCCCTTATGTATTATACATGGAGATCATATCCCCCCTTATGTATTATACATGCGAATCATATCCCCCTTATGTATTATACATGGAGATCATATCCCCCCTTATGTATTATACATGGAGATCATTATCCCCCCTTAAGATGTATTATACATGGAGATACATATCCCCCCTTATGTATTATACATAGGAGATCATATCCCCCTTATGTATTATACATGGAGATCATTATCCCCCCTTATGTATTATACATGGAGATCAATCCCCCCTTATGTATTATACATGGAGCCATATCCCCCCCTTATGTATTATACATGGAGATCATATCCCCCCTTATGTATTATACATGGAGATCATATCCCCCCTTATGTATTATACATGGAGATCATATCCCCCCTTATGTATTATACATGGAGATCATATCCCCCTTATGTATTATACATGGAGATCATATCCCCCATATGTATTAGTATATACATGGATCATACATATCTCCCCCTTATGTATTATACATGGTTGCCCCGATCATATACCCCCCTTAATGTCTTATGTGATTTATACATGGAGATCATATCCCCCCCTTATGTATTGATACATGGAGATCATACCCCCCTTCTGTATTATACATGGAGATCATATTGCCCCCCTTATGAATTATACATGGAGATCATACCCCCCTTATGTATTATCCCATGGAGATTCATATCCCCATTTATGTATTATACATGGAGATCCTATCCCCCCTTATGTATTATACCACGGAGATCATAATCCCCCATGTCTTTTACCCGGAGATTGTACCCCCCCTTATGTACAATTATACATGGAGATTATACCCCCCTTATGTATTATACATGGAGATCATATCACCCCTTTGTATTATACATGGAGATCATATCCCCCCCTTAATTATTATACATTGGTGATCATTGTACCCCCTTATGTATTATACATGGAGATCAATATCCCCCCTTATGTATCCTTTATGAACATGGAGATCATATCCCCCCTTATGTATTATACATTGGTGATCATATCCCCCCCCTTATGTTAATTACTACATGGGATTATATCCCCCTTATGTATTATACATGGAGATCATCTGTCCCCCCTTATGACATTATACATGGAGATCTTGGGGTATCCCCCTTATGTATTATACATGGAGTTCATATCCCCCCCTTATGTATTATACATGGAGATCAATCCCCCTTATGTATTATACATGGAGATCATATCCCCCCCTTATGTATTATACTTGGAGATCATATCCCCCCTTATGTATTATACATTGGAGATCCCCCCCCTTATGTATTATACATGGACCTTTCATATCCCCCCCTTATGTTTATACATGGAGATCATATCCCCCTTTTTATGTACTTATACATGGAGATCATATCCCCCCTTATGTATGTATTACATGGAGATCATATCCCCCCCTTATGTACTTATACATGGAGATCATATCCCCCCTTGACATTTTGTATTTATACATGGAGATCATATCCCCCCTCTTATTTATTATACATGGTGATCATATCCCCCCTTTATGTATTATACATGGAGATTATATCCCCCTTATGTATTTATACATGGAGATCATATCCCCCCTTATTTATTATACATGGAGTTCATATCCCCCTTATGTACATTATACATGGAGATCATATCCCCCCCTGCACTATATGCTCTATGTTGTACATTACATACTCCTGACCCCCCCTGCACTATATACTCTGTTGTACATTACATACTCCTGACCCCTGCACTATATACTCTGTTGTACATTATATACTCCTGACCCCTGCACTATATACTCTGTGTTGTACATTACATAATCCTGACCCCTGCACTATATACTCTATGTTGTACATTACATACTCCTGACCCCTGCACTATATACTCTATGTTGTACATTACATACTCCTGACCCCTGCACTATATACTCTATGTTGTACATTACATACTCCTGACCCCTGCTCTGTATACTCTGTTGTACATTCCATTGTCCTGATGTCTGCTCTCCCCCCTCCCCCCACTGCTATATATACACATAATATGGATTCTTTTTTGTTGCACCCATTTCCTCCCAGCTGGACATTTTATATCGGATGATGTGATTGGAGCACAGACTTTTACATGGCGATAATAATGTGATAACATCCTCCAACTTTGGACCCTTAAACAGAAAGTGATAATGAGGGAGGAGTCAATACCCCAATGATGGTGGTCTTCAGGATCAGTCCAGTCTTCATCTTGGTTGTTCCCCCCCCCATCCTCACTCTCTGACCTCTGGTGGGGCTCAGCCCCGCTGTTCTTCATGACTAAATCATGGACTAAATAAGGAAGTGCAGTACTTCTTGTGTTGGGAAGATGGCGATGAGTGATAGAGGGGGTGGGGACCCTCGTCCTATAATCCCCTCATCACTGTCCCTCCTATAAAAGACAGTTCTGGTTGTTTCCTCACTCTGTGACTAAGGTCCATGAATAAAGAAATGACCTGGTAGGAGATCAGAGGAGCCATTTCCTAGTTCCCTTGAGGGTGGAATTGTCAGCTCCTCAGAGACCAAGCTGCCTGATGTGGGCGGAGTCCTGGTTTGGGGGAACCAATCAGCTCCTGTCTAGTAATCCTCTTTGTCTTTGTATTTTAGTCCATGGCCGGGAGATGAGGAAAACCTCCGAGGATTGTCTCACTTTGTCTCCAGACTGGAAAGTAGAAGATGAGGACATCACACAGTATAGTCCAGGAGAAAACCCGGCTCCCTCCAATGTCCATCCGGCACCACCCAGTGTAGATGGACCATCGGATTCCTCGTATCCTGAGGAACCTCAGACTGTGCGGGACCGGGCCGGCCTTCCAACAGGGAAGAGCTTCTCCTGTACTGAGTGCGGAAAGGGTTTCCAATGTAAATCCAATCTAAATAGGCATAAAAGATCTCACACGGGAGAGAAGCCATATTCCTGTCCTGAGTGCGGGAAATGTTTTTCACATAAATTCTCTCTTTACAAACATCAGAGATCTCACACGGGGGAGAAGCCGTATTCCTGTCCTGAGTGTGAGAAATGTTTTTCACGTAAATCCTATCTTAACAGACATCAAAGATCTCACACGGGGGAAAAACCATATTCCTGTCCTGAATGCAGGGAATGTTTTTCAGTAAAGTCCAGACTTTTTCATACATCAGAGATCTCACACAGGGGAGAAGCCATATTCTTGTCCTGAGTGCGGGAAATGTTTTTCAGTGAAATGCAGTCTTTATACACATCAGAGATCTCACACGGGGGAGAAACCATACTCCTGTCCTGAGTGTGGGAAAAGTTTTTCAGAGAAGAAAAGTTTGCACAACCATCAGAGATCTCACACGGGGGAGAAGCCATATTCCTGTCCTGAGTGTGGAAAATGTTTTTCAGAGAAGTCCAATCTTTCCAGACATCAGAGATCTCACACGGGGGAGAAGCCGCATTCCTGTCCTGAGTGTGGGAAATATTTTTCAGAGAAGAAAAGTCTGCACAACCATCAGAGATCTCACACGGGGGAGAAGCCATATTCCTGTCCTGAGTGTGGAAAATGTTTTTCAGAGAAGTCCAATCTTTCCAGACATCAGAGATCTCACACGGGGGAGAAGCCGTATTCCTGTTCTGAGTGTGGGAAATGTTTTTCACTGAAGTCCGGTCTTTCCAAACATCAGAGAGATCTCACACAGGGGTGCAGCCACTTTTCTGTCCTGAGTGAGGGAAATGTTCCTCTCTAAAGTCCTGTCTTCCTGTACATCAGGGGTCCCACACAACCCTGGAGGTGTATTAGTGCCTTGAGTGCGGGAAAAGTCTTCTAGATGAATGTTGCTGGACATCCCAGTTCTCATGTGGGGAAGAAGCACACCCTGTTATACACCTCAGATATACTCCATGGCTGATCTTCATCATGGAAGAAACAGTTCATAAGGAGATCAGAGGTCCCCAAAGACATGGATGAAGTGTGGGATCGGGTTGGCCATTGATGGCAGGAGAAGAATAAAATTTGAGTCCTGACCTACAGCACTGTGCTGACTTTTTCATTGGGGTGCAGCCTATATGCTAGAGATGGTTTGTACCTAAATGGAAGGGGGCCTGCTGTGCTGGGGGAGGGGTTTATGGGAAGGCTGAAGGAGTATATAAACTAGGATGGAGGGGGGAAGGGGAATGCAATTATAATGGGGTAGACAGATCAGACGGGTCAGTACTTATTGGGGAAACATGGGGGGAGGGCTATGGCAGATGGGAAGAAGGTTCCCATGTTGCAAACAACCAGTGGAATTGATACAATTTGTATGAAAATAAAAAATACACAAAATCCATGTGAACAAGGTGTCAGTGAATGGACAAGGTGTCAGTGAATGAAAGAGTTTGTTCCCCAATGCCAGAAGTGTGCCCTGCACAATAGGTGAGTTGGAAGGTTTGGTGCATGAAGAGAACTAGGATTGAATTGGTATTGCTGAATCTTGGCTTCATTCCTCACATGACTGGGCCATTCATATTCCTGGCTAGGTTCTCTTTCGGAGAGACGGGGAAAATAGGAAAGGTGGTGGAGTCTGTCTGGAATAGGAAAGGTGGTGGTGTCTGTCTCTATGTGAGAAGTGATCTCAGAGCGAGTGTGAAAGAGGACCTAGTTGATGGAGAGTGTGATGAGGCTGAAGTACTATGGGTGGAACTGCACATGGGGGGCGTACTACAAAGGTCATCACTGAAGTTTGTTATAGGCCTCCCAGTGTTAATGAGGAGGTGGAGACTCAGTTCCTCGAACAGATGTAAAGGGCTGGGACAGTGATAATAATGGGGGATGGTAACTACTCGGAAAGTGACTGGAGTAATGGTACTGCAAGAACAGTTAAAGGGCAAAAATATATAAACCTACTACAGGACAATTTTATGGTCCAGTTCATAGAGGCCCCAACTAGGAATGATGCTCTGCTGGACCTGGTCATCTCCAACCATGCAGATCTTATTACGAATGTCCATATAAAAAGAACATCTGGGTAGCAGTGACCATAACATGATTTCATTTATTGTTAGCTGTAAACGGCAAGCACATATGGGAAAAATACTAACGCTCGGGGGGGGGGCGTGTCCAAGATGGCGACCGGACGAGTCGCATAACCTGGAGCTCCGGCGCTACACCTCACCATCCACCGGCATCCAGGTCGTATAGGAGGGCAGGGGTGAGTGGGAGACTCACCCGTAACTGCTGCATCACTGCTGGGCAGATCTGGGCGCTTTTGGCGCCGTTCTGAGGCGGCGACCCGGTGCAGCCACGGAGTCCTCCAGCGCACGACGTATCGGCTGGCGGTGGTGTGACACGAAGTGCAGGAGTGGGAAGGGGGACAGCTGGTCACCCCCCCTTCCGCTCGTTAAGTGAGCAGCCGGCTTGTCTTCCGGGCCTGTCAGGACGCTCCGGAGGAGCATTAGTGTCAACCTCCCTCCCCCCCATATGTGATACAGGGGTGGTGAGGCTTAGTGCAGCCTAGTGAGCCCCGGACCTCTCCCATCAGAGCACGGGCTAGGTGCTATCTAATTCAAGGGAGGATCACTACCCAAGCACATTCACCTCCTCCCGAAGCCATCTGTCAGCATTCCAGGGCCCATCGGGGCATCCCCCCCACACAAACCCAGGGAACACCAGCATATTGTAGAGGCCTTGCTATAGCCCATACAGCAGGGAGCTGTGCTGAGGTTAGGTCTACAGAAGATACATCCCCTGCAGATTCATATAAGGGGACGACAGTGATAATCACTACATCCACACAGCAAAAATCAGTCTCCCCTTTTTTGCCTATCCTCTCAAGCCCGTGGAGGCTTACAGAGCAATTTTGGGCTTGTTTTTAACTACCTATCCACATCTTCATTTTCCTGTTTTGGGGGACCCAGCTTGACCCCAAAGAAGATGGCAATATAATACCTTGAGCCTTGACACACATAGGTGGGGCTCCGCATTCATAACAAGGAGTCGCTGCTGATATGGGGAAAGCAGATAGGAAAGCTGCCACTCCTCGCTCCAGATCCCCTCACCTTACAGGTGGTCCTGCTAATCGAGGCATCCCGGAATTATTCCGATCTCACACTCCGGAGCACGCAGAATCTTCCGCCCTTGCATCCCCACTACATTCGCCTGCAAAGGAGATTCCTTCACAGTCTATGAGTTTGACAACAGCTACCACAACTGAACGTTCCGAACCTCCCCCCTCACCATAGGGGATTTGAAAGCGGTAGCATCAGATATTAAAGGGACTCTGCGGCAATAGCTGAGTTACATATCGACATGCAGGCAGTGGCTCATAGGCTGGACGCAGTAGAGGATAAATTAATATGCAAGGTCTTGCTATTCACGATATGCGCAAGCAGGTTGACACGCACACCATGCACCTAAGAGAACTCGATCGTCACATCGAAGACCTGGATAATAGGGGAAGACGACATAATTTAAGGGTGCGCGGTGTACCAGAAGCAATAGAGCCTGGCCAACTGACCCAAGCTCTTTTATCTATCTTTAATGATCTTTTAGAAAGACCGCATGAATCTCCAATTGAGATCGAACGCCTCCACAGGGCCTTGCATCCTAAAGGCAGAGATACTGACCCACCGAGAGATATAGTTTGCTGTCTAGTCGACTTCCGACTTAAAGAGGAAATACTTTGCAGAGCTCGAGACAACGCTTGTTATACCAGGATTCCGAAATTAAACTATTCCAAGATCTCTCCCATCTCACCCTTGTTGTGGACCTTTTGAATTACGTCTCAAAAATATGACTTTATCAAGACATAATATTATATGACAAGCAGCTCAATATAGCCGGATGTTAAGGGGTTAATTTGTCTTGGTTGGAAAGTCGAATGACCATCTGGCTGGAGAGGTGTAGACGGTGGGTGAAGGGATTTTTTTTTTCCTCCTAGAGACAATATACTATTTTGAAGTTCTACAGGTGGTCAAACACCATTATTCAGACTTCAATAGCAGGTAAAAACATATACAAGGTCTGGACATGACAATAGAGGAACCAAACTGATTGTCTGAGACCTTACTCAAACCTTGCAGAGTGTGATAAACCAACAGACCTCTGAAACTATCACAATATACTATTGTCCACCAAGGGTGAAAGTATTAAGAGTTGTTTACTGTGATTCCAATACAAGAGCCAGGCAAACAGAGAGTTTTTCCCTACACATAGAAAATGTTGGTTCTAAAACAAAGAAGTTAAATTCAGGACATTTAAGTCTAAAAATTGACTGTATATAACTACAAAGATATACTACAAAAACATATTATAAATGAGATGTTATAAAGGATAGGTTTTACACACCACCAAATATTCAGCAATGGGAACTATATATCACTAACCTGAGTATTGAGATGATGAAAAGTAAGATATATTATAAACTAGCATTAGTTACATGTCTTATCAGGAAACAAACAGGATGGTATTTCAAGAAGGAATAACTGAATATACACCTATATTCCATGGTCCCTATTTAGAATATTATAGGTATGATCACTTATATCTGGAAAAAGACGTATATTTGATCCCTGAAATTACCTTAAGATTCCACCCGAGGTATGAGTCATCTCAAATACTCAAATTGTTCTATGATACATGACCGCCACCTGGCGGGCAGGTGAGAAATAGCTTATGTACACACATTTCTCAACTAGCCAATCAAGAAGCCTGGTGGGAAGGTATCTTAGAACAATGGATTAGTGGATATAAAAGCCCTTGTACCTTTTAAAAAAAAAAAAACCTCATCAAAAGAAAAACTCATCAAAAGAAAAGACCTCATCAAAAGAAGACCCTGACATCTGAAGAGATCTCTGCTGAATAACTACTCTTCCATACTTTCAAACTTCCTAAAACTTTACTAAATTTCTAAACCTCTATCCTTATAACTTCCTACATTCTCCCACACTATTGAACTCTATCTCAATTTCCCCTGTGGTCATCAGTCTAAAGGCGTTCCACTGCCAGCTAAATCCACGGGAGAGTTGCCTAGTCTGAATGCCGGGTGCGGTGAGATTGTTTATTTGATTTTGTATTACCTATTTTCTCCGTTGTGTGGAATCATAGAATTACCTTAGTGTATCACAACAATATTGGGTAGTTCGAGATATATGTAGAGAGATCCTGTTTTTACTGTTAGAAATTGTTTGGTGCCATATTATAATTTTTTTTTTTTTTCATATTTCATAATTTATTGAATATTAATAATCAGAGTATAATATATCAGAGGATAGCTTCTTGCAATCCTATGGCCACGGCTTGTGAGAATATCACCTTTGAGATACTCGAAATTATTAATTATTAATAAATTTAATTAATAATCAAATCATTTAAAATTGTGATATTGATTTAATTAGTTAGAAACCCTATTATTGTGTCTTACATTGGTAGGATATATCTTTGATTGTGTGTACCAATGTTCATTTATCACCAGTCTTTTGCGTTTTGTGTTAATATATATATAATTTTTGTACATAAATACATTTTTATATTTATCTATTATAAGGCAAATTTTGTGTGTATGGTACGAAATCATATTGGCTAAAAGAATTCAAGGTATAATAATAAGTGGTGATCAAATTATCAAGGTGTCCAAATTATTGGTTCACTAAATATTTGCCGTATTTTAACGGCTGGAGGCACTGTAATATTTCATCTAAGGGAAAGGGACACGCCCTTTATAAGTAAAATATA